TCGGCTGTCGTTCCCCATCATATGAAGCTTCCTCTGCTAATTCCAGGGGCTGATTGGAGGGGCTGTTGGAAAAGAGAGCTACGTACCCAAGTCTTTTTTGTTGCCATAGACCTTTCGTGCGAGTTTGCCTAGTGAGGAGGAGGGCCCTTTCATTCAGAACTTGGCCTCTGATTGCAGTGTTCTCATCATTTACATTCCCTTTGCTCTTTAAGCCTTTTCAAGTTGATGGGAAGATTTGCTTCCTACTATGGTGCTAGGCTGGACCTGCTCTTGAATGGAATGCTTTTGTCTGCTTCACACTATCTGGGGAATGTGGGGCACTTGGCAGGAGATGGACAGTTTAGCTCAGATCTGCTTGTTTGGATTCCTCTACTGTACAGCAATACAAAAAAACTCCAGAAACTCTCTCTCTCTCTCTCTCTCTCTCTCTCTCTCTCTCTCTCTCTCTCTTTCTCACTAAGATTTCTTATTAGATACATGTGTTTTGGACTGAGGGCTGTGTCGTCAGACCATATTAGGAAATCAAAAACTTACATACCTCACATAACTGTTCTGTCAGTTTCTGTTCACAATAATGGACCACAATGTTACCTGACTTTTTACACAGCCTGTCTAATTTGTGTCTGTTGCATCTTTTTTGCTTGCTTTACTCCTTTTATTCACTCATCGAGCAGTAGATGTGGGAAGTATACTTGTATGCTTGTTACCGTGTTGTGGATACCGTGATCAGACTAAAAAAGAATGAATCACAAATAGTCCCGCCCCCTATCTGTGTTAAACATGAACTTGAGATAATTCTCAACTGTAAACATATTGAACTTTTTGGGAATTGCCTGCTTTTTCCACTCATGCACGATGATATTGAGATATCGGTTTTGGCATGTAATTTCTTTAAACAGCAGGTGTTTGTGTATCAAGATTGCTGTATTGGCATCAGCAGATATGTAGACTACATAAAAATATCGGCTGACGTTTCTTTGTGTGCATCCCTAAATATAATGTTATGCTCTAGTGCAAAGCAGTAAACTTTAGCACACATGGAATAGTAAGCACATTTTGTTAGATGCAGAAAACAATAAAAATTTAGAGACCAGCTACATTTTAGAATTGAGCATGAGTGAGGGGGTAAAAGAAAACAAAATTGTCATTGAAGGAGAGAACTATATCATATGACGTTGATGATATCACATGTTTTTCTAGACTTCTAACTGCAGTAGTTAACCTGTTGGAAGTGTGAAGTGGTTGGTTGGAGCATCGACCAAGCAGCATACAATGATCTAGAATCAGTTTTTCCCACTTTAGTCATGCTTATAGAAGCCACAAAAATGGTCTCAGAGTACAGCATAGCGCACCCTCCACCAGCTAACTGTGGAAGCAGCAGAGATCAGGGCCGGTCAGTCCTGTCCCTGCTCAGGCCGAAGTGCTAGCGTAGCTGCTGATACAGACCTGCTGCTTTGTAACAATACATCTGAATGAGGGAAGACGGTTGGCCTTGGGCAGCATAGGCTCCGATATCCTATCTGCATTACACACCAAGGGTGGAGGAGACAGCTACCAAGAAGGTTAAACACATTCCCTCTCCAGTCTAGGAATAACACCCACACATTAGAATCTGCTAATGAGTTAGAAATCCTATCATGGACAAGTGGCCAGTTAAGAAGTCTTGGCCAGTTAAGTAGTAGCATTGGTATGGAATGCCTGAAAGATGAGACATGCTTGCCTTTCACTTGTGCGAGATAATGTTCAATGAGTTAAATATTACTTGCCTGAGTCATTTGCCACCTTTGCACGGTTGAAATGTGAGTAGATGGGTTTACTCAAGTGCAGCAGCAGCAGCAGCTGGTGACTCAACCTTCTAGTTCTGTTGGCCTCATTTGAGACAGATACGTGTCATAAATGGATCTGGATCTGGATGTGAAGTGCCTTCTGAGAATAAATGTTTTTATGATCCTAATGTTACCATCCCAAGGGTGTATGAACAAACAGGCCAGATTATTACTACTTAGAAGAGTTGAGTTATTTAAGTTGTTTGAGTAAGCGGCCTTAACTCAAACTCTTTAAAGTTGAAGTTACTGCTGGCACTTTCTCACTCTAAACTCTTTGAAAGAGACATAATCTGCCCATACTTTGAATTAATGCCACATCTGTGCTTGTAAGAAGAAGAGAATATATTTTATTCTGTTATTGGTGGGTGACATGGCAGAAATATCACACAAAGGTACTGCTACATGAAGGTACATATCTCAGATTGACACTGAAATCACAAACCTCATCAGGGTAATATAGATTCTAATTAATTTCTAGTAATTTGTTTTTGAATTTAATTTGGTTGAAAACAGGTTTACCAGCTAAATCAGGAGTAATTCATCAGGTCTGTTTGCCCAGGAAATAATCACCTCAAATCTAAGCCATAGCCATAACAGATACCTTGGAACTAGCCTTGAAAAGCACTATTGTGATCTGTTTAGTTAATTGGTTAATTTGTGTTGTGATGTTGTCAATATCGAGACAGTATTTTTCACAGTTTTTTTGTCATACAGACACAATGCATCTGTAGTTCACATTTATATTTATCAAAATCATATTTATCAAAACCTCTGCGTACAATTACTCTACAGCACTGCATTAAATCCACATAAATAGGGCTAATTTTGCTCTATTTGTAATGAAACACGCAATTGTTCAGAATTCTCCACGATATGCTCAGAAAACCATATTGTTTATCATGATAACAAAATTTATCATGATAATAATAATATATCATCATATTGCCTACCTTTAAGCACAGTCTTCTCTCACCGAAAGGAAAAACATTACCCATTGTTTAATACTGACACAAACAAAACAGATGGATTTGCAGAATCAGAATTGTCAATACAGGACGTAAATCATGAACATAGAATATAAATGTAATCCATTACATAACAAACTATGGAATTATGGAATTAAGTATGTGCTTACCATGTACTTTTTATAGAAAGTTACAACTGTTGACTTCTCAGGGTTAACCACATCTAATTGGTCACATGGTCCAGAATTTGAAGTTGTAAGCCACAAACGTCAGTAATAGTCCAACCCCAGCTCATGTCAGTTACGTTTTATAACAGGTGGGCAGGTGTGGGGAGACTGCCTGTCATCCAGAGTTTCCTGTTAATACCCCTAATCCTTGCAGCCATCACTCAGAAAGGCTGCTTTGACTGTTTAATAGGCTAGAGGTTTTGTAATTTGTATGTAAGGTTTATTGGTCGATATGAAGTGACATCTGCTGCGTTTCAGACTGTTTTGACATAAGTTTTTCCTTCAGCTGAAGGAAAGGAGGCCTCCGCCTTTATGTACACACAGACGCACTCATACTCCTTCCCGTACTTCTCCCGGCGACTCACAGAGCCTCTTTTCAGGCTTATGTAACCGTGGCAGAAATAGCTTCCCGACCACAATGAAGAGTGATTAGGTGAACCCAAGTTTTGGGATTCTTTTTCTCTCTCCTTCTCTTACTTAGTCTCTCTCCCTTTCCCACTCTCTCTCTCCCTCTTTCTCTCTTTATGGGCTCAGGTTCCAGGCCTCGGTCCAAAGAGAGGCAGAGGAAGACAGACATTGTTCTGAAAGTAAGAACTTCAAGGTAGATGAGGGGGGCTGAGGTGGGGAAATAGAAAATAATGAAATAAAGGAGAACTAGGTGACAAGGGGTGGGGAAATAGTGTTGTGTGTGTGTTTTATGGGGTGAAGAGTTGAATTTCATCAGCCACTGATAAGGATAAGTAGAAAGGGTTTATTCATTTGTAGATAAGGGAATGGATGTATTTGCTTGTTTTTTAAGTACCCCCCACATTCCTTTTTTAAGTTTTGGGGATCAGGGCCTTTTCTCTGTGTGTGTGTGTGTGTGTGTGTGTGTGTGTGTGTGTGTGTGTGCGCGCACTGGGGGGTGGCATTGAGCATAAAGAGCACTTCTCTGCAGGCATCCCACATTCTCCAGGGAGAGAACAAGAGCTATTCACGGAGCAGGTCTCAACCAGCACTCCACAACGTCCCCCCATTTGTTAAAGGCCTTCACACACACACACACACAAACACAAAAACGACATTCTGAACTGCGCTGATATATTGTGGGCATGCCTGCCTTTGTCAGGAGGTGTATAAGCAATATGAGGATAGTTCACTAATCCCTCATTGTTCAGCAACAATCAAAAGGTTGGTACATGAAAAATCTGGTAACTCAGAAATGGTAGAGGGAAACATTCTTAACTGTAATGTAAATTAATGAAACGAGTTTTTTTGTCCTGTGTCATGAATGGACCGAAGGCCAGTTGCTGACACATTACTGTTTGAAAATGATCAGTAGGGAAAAGGCGGTGTTATTGTGAGGTCGTGCCATTAGGGCGGAAGAAATGACTTTAACGTCAACAGCATTGAAAGTCATCATTTCCGTTAACCTCCCTTAGAGGTCTGCCTTTCACGCATGAGGGAGGTCAGCTATTTTCCGAGCTGATTTAGAGTAATTTGCCCCTGTCAGGTTGTTCCTGTCAGGGTCACGTCAAATAAGAAGCTTTCTGACAGCTGCAAACAGAGATTGTCTTGATCCGTGCACTTTACACAAAGGCTATTACTAGTTGCGTTCTCTAAATGTCCATTTACTGCCAATGCAAATGTTTGTTTCTGAGTTCTGTTTTCTCTCAATGCTATACAAAATCGCCTTACTGCTCTAGAAACAAAACTTTCGACTCATTTCCATATCTGTATATCACTTATCAGTATTGGTCCACTGTAGGATTTTATTAAAACTGTGAAATCAAGAGGACATTTGTTTTGAGCTTCCTGCTCTTTGGTTATTTCATGTTTGAGAGTTGAAGGCGTGCCCCTGCTGAGATAGCATGAATATATCACTCAGTCTAGCTGCTAGCTTTTATGGGATTAGCCTATGTCTCAAAGGCTTAAAACGATTAGCCTGCTCTGTTTCATGGGATAAGCAATCCCCCTCCAAGTCCATACCTCTAACCCCTCACCCCTTTTGCTCTGTCCCCTTTAAGCATGCTAAAAACAACCTGTGATACTTACACTCTGTCCGTCTTACATTGAGAAACCTGACCGCAAGGGTGCTATTACGAAACATGGAGTGCCACAGCATCAGCGTCCGGTTGGCATGGCACATGATATAAGCACATTTGTTGCCTGTAGGCATATCTAGAGCATCTGTCTTTGGTTTATGTGTCTGCAGGATGTGTGCAATGAACTGAAAGTGGAGGGCACTTTGGTGGGGTGTTCAGTGTAGCAGACGCTTAGCAAGTCCAAGGTTGTTTCTGTGCAAGCTTATTCACAGATGCTTGAGGTGTGGAGCTGAATCTTCAATGGTAGGCGGCTGCTGAATCACCAATAAAGAGGCAAGTAATGACCAAAGGCTATATTGAATGGGATGGTTTTAGCTGTAATAACTTGATGGGCTGTGACCTGTCTTTAGTCGATTGATTTATTAATTCACTGAGGAACATATTGTTCTCCTTCATGTCTCTGGGCATTTTGACTTTTACTACTCATCTGATGAGAGTGCTTTCATATTACCTAAGGTAAGCATTCAGAGCTTCATACTTGGCAATTTATTGGTTCCTCATCACAGAATGGCAAGTTTTGGCCACTAAATGAATATTTAGCATAAAGAAGGATCAGTGCCAAGAAGTGATAAAGTACATCTGGCAATCTAGACTGTTAAATGCTGGTAAATCTTGGTGCTATATGCAGAAAAAAGTGTCATCCATCTTAGGACAAGATAGTACTGAGATGAACTAAAGCGTTTTGAAACTTTGTGGTTGAGGCAGCAAAGTCGCTAGTGCTACAGTCATGTAGCTTCAGCACTGAAATCCTGTGTGGTCTTGGCCTATGAGGCCACAGTGCTGGCTAGGTCATGCATAGGCTGCTGGTAGGCGGGGGGATTTTCATGTCATCAGGATGTTGCCATGCTTGGTGTGGGGGCGGCCATTGGTTCACAGAGCAGAGGAAATGGGTGGGACTGTTGCAGCAACACTGAGGCAGTCAGTCAAGCACTGTGCTTCTCTCTAGAGAACTTTGGTAGAAGTTTGTCATTAGGGTGGCCTACAGGCTTGAAGGGAACAGCTAATGATACATGTATCCATGAGTTGAATTGCTTGATTGAACTGTTTAGCTTTGTTTGGGGTTATTGATCAGAATGGTCATGTGAAAACCTCAGGTTTATTCAGGCTAATTCTGTCTATTCATGGGTGTAGGCTTCTGCGTAAAGAGTATGGTTTGTGACTTCTATCCAAGGGACACTTTTCAAGGCATATGTGCCTAAAGCCGTAGCTTATTGGGTCTATTAGTTGCCATTATTTGCAGTCACTGCTAGCTTTAAAGACGATGTAAGTATGAATGCACTTGAAAGCAGTGCTTTTCTACAGCTTACGCTGCCTGACGTCATCATTGAGTATCTTCGGGATAGAAGTAATCTGTTTACTTGCAGATTATGTCTTGCCTCATATCAAGTGCTAATGTTCTAAATGTGAGGACAAAGCAGTTCTCTCCAGATGTGTCCAAACGAAACAAAGACCTCACGTACTCAGAACTCAAGAAGCACGTTTTACACCACGGCCCATTTTGTTTTAAGTGCCTTTTCTCCTCTGCAGCATCAAGGCACGTCATTACGATAATTATTTTCTATATTTACTCAGGTGAAATGAGGGCAAGTGAGCGTGCTGGCTCACCCATCGTACCCTCCCTTCCCCCTTGAGGGCATATGTTAAAGTGAGTTGGTCCTAATTTTCACACTGCATCATTTCACAGGAATCCTGTGTGTGGAGGTTGGTTTTGGAACAGACCATTTTTTCCATATGGGTGAGCTTTAGGGGAGGCAGCTGTACAACATGTTGCCTGAGCGAATAGATTTCTTCACAGAGGTGGTGCCTTTTTTTGTTTAGTGACCTCATTTACCCAACGGCTACTTAATTAGCCTTGATGTTTTACCAGAGCTTGAGCCAAAGCCACCCAAACGAGATTGCTTTCATGGTAGGTGGGACCCTGCATTCAGTAGTAATTTGATTGCGTAAGGGTGAGTCGTGGCCCAGTCATGGATTTCTCCACTTTTGCGAGAATATTTGGGCTGTTTGAGCAAACACAAGCTGCCTCACAGTTAAATAAAAACTTCTTTATTTAGAATCATATGAGTCATGATTTTCCCACTTTCCCAGAAGTGAAAGAGGGCAACAGGGGGACGCGTATGTTGGATGCCTCTCAGCTCCAGGTGCTGAGTAGAAAGCTTCTGAATGTGCATGTGCAGTTTTCATGCTTGTCAGGAAGAGTGATGGTTTTCACGCTTTTGTTTAAACTCCTGAATGGTTGTTGTCTTGGACACATGGTTCCTTTAAGTGCTGCAAAGCTTTTACAATATATGGATATCCTTTAAACTTTAAAAAGCTTAATCACTTTTACATATCTATTTTATACAAGTGGCTCTTCAAAGAACCAGCCATTGAAAGGCTCTTTAGGCAACAAGTGGTTCCAAAGAACTGTTTTTGGCACCTACATTTTTAACAGCACCTTCAAAGCAATGTAGATGCATAGTAATGTGGAATCATGTACCTGAGCACATATGGGTCACTCTGAGTCATAAAGCTAGCACAGACAGCCATATCTAGAACTGATTCAGGTTTTAGGAGCCTGCCAGTGAGCTATGCTGCTCCCAGTTTGGATGAGATTGTGGAATGCCCTTCAACACCCTACTTAACATCTCATTAAACTTCCGGGAAGTTAAACATTTCCCATTAATGGCCTCAGAACCAGAGAGGGGCTTTCCAGAGCTGGCTAATGGCTAACACTTGTGATTAAGTGGCCTCACTGTGATTAGCCTATATTTAAGGCATGGATGTGTATGCTTCAGTTCCTGTGCTGACTCACCTGCTCCAAGTATAGGCCTGTAATAGCGTAGAGGAAACAAAGACAAACAAATATTGCTGCTCAGACAGACTGTGTGCTGTCAGAATACATTACTATACAAAGTTACAGTGCAGGTTAAGATCTAAAGAAGAACATTAATTAGTTCAAAATTACTGCAGTCCTCTGTCTAAAGTGCCACATGTGCAGTTTACCTTGAGATTCGATCACAATGTAGCCCCAGTGGTGCTGCAGACATCCACGACTAAGTTTGTCTCCTCAGGCTATCAGTTTCTCAAAAGAGGATAAAATCCATGTGTGAAGGTTTAAAAAACGCATCTGTTTCAGAGCATTAATTATGAAAACATAAAAACATAAAACTTAATCTTGAGTTTTGAAGCCTGACTTTATTTAATACTTCTACTTTTGCAAAGCTTGAGTGGGGGTGGAAGATGGTGGGAGGGCGAGTTTTTTTTAGAGGTTTATCTTAGCTTCTATCTTCACACATCCTAGTAGCTTGTTCCTACTTTAGCCTCATTTCTCCAAACTGAGCACTTGTATGTTTAAAGTTATTTCAAAATAAAGCTGTGTGGTCGTCCAAGTACAGTCCCTGCTAATGCCCACTGAGACTCAATTAGTGTAGCTTTTTGTGCACTTTGTGTTCAGGGGTCAGAGTTCAGCTTCCATTCATATTGGAATCTTAAAGCAAACAGGCATTACTGTCTGGGCTCATCTAGCTGTATGAGTGAGACTGACATGAGAGTTCTTATTGGTCGACGCTGACCCCTAAGGTCAGCTCAAGCTCACGGTTGTCTGTCTGTGCAAGCACTGTGGGTTGTTGTTATGCTAGATGGTTGTGGGTGACCAAGGCAACGGTACATGAGACAATAGCCATGCGACCACACATCCGATCAGAGATAATGATGCTGCCCAAGCAGAGAGGTTCACATGGGAACCGCTTAAGTCCATACACTGTGGGAAAGTTGACTGGGACATAGAGTAGCAAAGTGATAGCAACAGTGTGCTCATGGAGTAGATAAAGTGTGGTTGAGAGAAAGAGTGAAAACACTGTTACCGCAGTGGCCACAGTGATTTCTAAATGAAAGGGTTTACTCAAACAGAAGCACTGAAATCAGTGAAACTGTCCAAGAATGAGGTATGTTTTTTATCTAAACCGTTTGTCATGGAATTCAGCACTTTGCCTTATGAGCACTCAGTGGTGGTCAGTCAAATATAACGTATCCCTGTGTACTGCATATTTCTAATACTAAATGTGAGATTAACACAGGGTAAGAAGCGATTAACAATACAGACACTTTTAGTGACCTGAATTTGGCATTCGTTTCATCTTCTAGTGGTTGGAATAATAAAAGAAAAAATATTTGCTAAGACTGGCTTGAGAGAAATGTTTTGGCTATGCTGTGGTGAGCTGGAGTCATTTTTATGATTGTTATCTTAGTGTGATCCAGGTCAAATGGGGCTGGCTCTTTTTTCCAAATGAACACGTTATTGAAGCACTTCGGACTAAGTGTTCTATTTTAAAGGTAGAGTAGTTTACGGTAGGTTCTGAAACTGCTGTGCTACAATAACAAGGATGTTTTGCTATGTCTCTGGCATGCGACAGTGTTTATTTAATATTAGTGAGTCATTGAGTTGCCCTGCTCTTTTCCATTAGATCAGTTATATTGATGGTGCTGAACATTGCATACTAATGTCTGTAAACCTTCATATGTATACATGATGAAGGTACCAGTTTACAGTTACTACAACTGGCTTAATAGTTTGCAGAGCTGTTATGAAAGGACCCTCTAAAAACAACCCTGTAAGACTGTTCCCACTCAGTTATATGTAATATGTATATTCTTCATAATTTTTAGCAAAGCTAGAGATGGTGCACAGCACTGTTTCAGCAATTCTTGCCTAGATCTGTAAACCCTTAAAGCCTAGGCTTATTATTCAGTCATTAATCTCAAGACTTATTCAATAACCACCATAAAATATGGGGCTTATACGTATTTTTATATGTATAGTTATTAGAGTGAGAAACTGAAATGTGGACCCACACAGGGGCACATCATAAGTGTTATTTATGTCACTCTATGTTTAGTAATGAATTTGTCTTTAGATATTGTTGAAAGAAATGTTTGGAAATGGTAACCGCTTTGAAGGTGAATTATATTGATTTTTCAAAATGTTTATATAATTCAATGCTTGAGATGTAAACAAAGTCATTCAGAGTGTTTTGATGTGAAATGGTTAATAGTAGAGAAACTTACCAATCCAGATTTACTATCCAAAACCACCAGTGAACCTACATGTCTTACCTACACGGTTTTATATGTAATGTTGCTAATGATAAAATAGTATGTGTAGTTTTCTTTGGGTACTATTTTGCATTCTGCATGTACCCCTCCACCATGAATACATTCAAAAAATGTTTTAGGCCAAAACTATATCTCAAAAATATTGTAGAGCAATGTCTCAGGCATCAGACATTGCATTACTAAACATTTCATGTGATATCTTTCTGTAAGGGGGCTTTTAGAGGCATTAAACTCTTCAGCCATCTGGTTACTGTCACCACCACTGTGAACAATTCTGACTTGGTAAATTTCTCTGGAATGGAGCTTTTCACATTAAGCCACTCTGAATGACTGTTTTATCTTAATCATTTAAATATGCAGTCATTTAAAAAATCTGCGGAATTCCTCTTCAAGGGTTTGTTTGTTAGTTTGTTAGAGACAATACACCAGCAAAACATTAGTGCATAAATGTAATAATATGTTAAAAAAAAGGTAATAGCATAATCCAAGCAGCAATTTGTTACTAGACAGTTCTTTCTGTTTTATTCTGGATTCCATAGTTACTGATAATACTCATGATATACTCTGTGATGTAACTTATCAACACACTGATAACATTTTGTCATATTGCCTACCTGTAAGTATGGCAGTGACTGATTATAATAGTGGTTTCTACATATTTCACAGAACCTGATGGCAAAGGCGTTGTACGACAATGTCCCAGAATCCCCAGAGGAGCTGGCCTTTCGCAAGGGCGATATCCTGACAGTCATTGAGCAGAACACCGGTGGACTGGAAGGCTGGTGGCTCTGTTCGCTGCACGGTCGCCAGGGCATCGCACCTGGCAACCGCCTCAAGCTGCTCATTGGGCCCATGTTTGAGAGCCAGACACCAGCCAGCCCCTCACCTTCTCAGAGCCTCGCCCAACAGCAGAGACCCCGCACACCACAGGGCCTGTACCAGGTGCCCCCCTCCCACCAGCCCAGCCAGGGCTCTGCACAGGGTATCTACCAGGTCCCACCCTCACAGGATCTGTACCAGGTCCCACAGAGGAGTGCACTGGCTGCAGATGGAATGCCTAGCAAGGTAAGAGAAATCTCTTAAACATGGAAAATGGAGAAAGACCTAGACAAAGTGAGATGAGAATGAAACAGTTGTTGTGACACTTGTGCCTTTAAATCCACCCCTAAAATTTGTGGAGAATCATGACTTTTTTGCATAATTTGAGCACTCCAGTTACCCTTTTTGCACTGTGTTCATATTTAATAGGATAATTAGGACCAATAAAAATGCACTGGAATTAAGAGGAAAAAATCTTGTTACATTGACTTCCATTTTAAGTTAAGGTTTTTTACAGAAAAGTTACAATTTTGTTCAGACAGCAACGATATGATTCCCTAAAATTAGCTTTCTTAACATGTCTGTTGATGCATCTTTACCAACTTTGGTTAGCCATTATAAAGCACTTCCTGTGATCTACTTTTAGAATGAACAAAACTTGATTCATCAAAGTTCTTTAGTCTAAACTTTGTGTTTTGTTTCAACAATACTGTGATCTGAGACTCCAGCTGCCCTTTACATTATTTAAAGATTTCATGACATATTCAACTTTTTACCATGTTGTATGTTGAAAAAGCATTATACTTTTGATGTGACATGCAACGTTACATCTAAACTTGTCTCTCATTAACGTTTTATTTTTATTATTTACTTGGCTCTTTTGTGTAAGACTATTTCTGACCCTTACCACATGCTGTAGTGAAATGTTCAGTTAGTGAAGATAATAAAAAGGAGATTCAGCACAGTTCTTTGACTGTGCCCAAGCAGATTGAGTTCTCAGCAGACAGAGGGGGATTAACGGAGATTTGACCAGTGGTTAACATGTTTTTTTACTGCAGGAAATTGCTCCTTATTTACGCCGTTCTGTTAAAGACCCGATGCTGTGACCCCTGCGGCGTAGTCATTTTATAGTTCTGATTGAAATAGGCTCTGCATCCGGCCAAAGCCGCGCAGAGACTGAGATGTCACACACAAGCTGGCCGCGCCCTGCCCTGCCCTCCACCACAGGCCAGCGCATGTTATGTTTAGCTCACTTATTCTGGTCTAAGCTGATTTCGTCTGAACACAAAGCCACAGAAGGGCCAGCACAGGGAAAAAGAGAGTGAGTTTCTGTGAAAAGAGTGTATGTCTTTGTGCAGAGTAAGATCTGTGATAGACGTTAATCTCAGGCAGCTACTAGAACCACATCTGCACGTTTCAGTTTCAGTTACTGATATTCGGGTGCTGATTCGCCACGGAAATTCTGTTCTTTCTTTCTTCCAGATCAGTACAGTAAAAGCCTGAGTGATAGGATGATGCCATCGAATGATTAACCAGTGACCCGATAATGATGCTTAAAAGGCGATAATCGCCATATTGGGAAAGAACTACAGAGAACTAATTTACCTTTAAACTGCTTGCTAAATAATATTAAATAATATGTACACAAGGCAGTGGTAGAGTTAATTCCCCACTGTGTGGCATACTTTGCAGCATTTTCCGTACCGTACCGTTCTGTCTATAATTAAGTGCAGTCTTTTCTGTTGTGCATTGTATTTTTCAACTAAAGATAGGTTTGAATGATTGTACAAAAGTAATAGGTAACTAAAGTCAAAGCAGAAGATGAAGACTAATAATTCGCATAATATTGGGAAAAATCTCGATATTCAGTCATATCAGTTATGGACTCGCTACATGACACTATGTGTATGGGTACACACTGAGGTGTTATCTGCTGTAAAATCAATGAGCTGCAAGTCCAATATTGTACTTGTAATTGTACATTTATATATTAATTGATGAAGAATACCGCTGCCATTTAAATGAAACCCCTTGAAAATAACATTGAGTAGATTTTTTAGGTTCAGTGACAAAAAGCAGAAGAATACAAAAGGCAGCTTGAACATTCTTTTTCACTAAAAAGGCTGTGAACCTTTCACCAGCCACATTATTTTCTTTCTTCATGACTGGACTTCACCATAAATGGGCTCTAATTCCGCCTTTAATGGAGGCCGGCAAAAATTCTGAATATACTGAAATATTTTCCCTGTCTAAACCTCTGAATAAGAACCCTTAGTTCCCTTGAAATCCCATCAAAGCATGTATTTATCATCAATAGTGAAGCCACACAGTGTCCCTGCTCGGCTAAGCACGTAGCGCCTGAAGCCTGATATAAAGCCTGTGATTACTCATTCTAATTCGCAGGCTCTGCTGCAGATGTTGAGAGGCTGGAGAATAACTGGTCTGCAGGATGGGCAGTGCCTCTGGCTGTAATTTCTAGTGGTCTCTTGTTTTCTATGGCTTGTGGTAGAATCAGCATTGTGGGGTACTTTTTATGGATTTTGAACAAAATAGCTTGCACAAATTATGTGGTGACGTGTGCTGATACCCATTTTCACTAAGATGGATCATTCCATTGTTATTACCTATAGAAGAAATACGTGAATTCCACTGCATCCACCAAGACTTTTTGTGTTAGACGTGTTGCACACATAAATTACTATTTTTGCTGTGTGTGGTGTTTAGGCAGCCACTAAAAAAATGACCTGCTATTGCAGACAGGGAGCGCTTATTTGCTGTTTTCCACTGAGCCTGGCGCTGCAGTGTGCCAGCTTTTGTGCACATGAGGTAAGAGGGTGTGTCGCCAGCCATAAATGTGCTGTTTTTCTGAACGTCTTTCAGTCCAAAGCCAATCCAAGAAATGTTACGTAGGTTTGGCTTTGAGGAGGGTGCAGTCGAAATAAGGATTTCCTGCTAACTCTGTCTACTCCCTGTCCAAGTTCCTGCGGCATACAATAACGATACAATAATAATCCCCCCTCAGGCTCTATTGTTTATTGAACTGCGAGGCAGCAGTGCATGATGCCTTTAATCAGTTTCCAGCCCCGTATGGTGCTGATTATAAATGAGCATTTTTGCGGTTATTATTCTTGAGCCTTCTTAACTGACTACTGTCGTTTCTCCTTCACAGTGAGATGTAACAAAATTAGACTCGACTCATCTGAAGTTCCAGAATTAGAGCTGAGTTGTGCTTCCTAAAGTTTCCACCTCTGATTAATTGATGCTTTTATTGTCATGATATTATTAATCTATTAAAATTCCCACACTTATTACATCCTAAGGCGTATCATTCAATAACTATATGGAAAACAGTGCAAACTGGCTGAGCTGTTCTTAAGTTATAGGAGCAAGGAGTGGAAGCCTGGACCTTCCAGTGGTCCTTATCTTTTAAGGGGTTTAAACTGAAGGCTTAATTAAAGGCTATCAATATTAAAATGTATTATTCAGTAACTATGCTCTTAAAAATAAATGCTCCAAAAAGTGTTATTAGGAGTGATACAATGGATGAACCGCTTCTGGCTCCCCAAAGAACCTTTTAATGGGTGTAGAATGCGCCAGTGTGAAGAACAACCTCCACATAATATAAAGTTTCTATACAAATGAAAGTTTTTTGTTTTTTTTTTCGTTAAAAGGGCAGCTTTAAAGCAACACTTTGTTTGACTAGATGTTGTTATGCTAAGTCTTCTACATTACTGCTTTATCAAGAAAAGCTTTTAGCTACATTGTTGGGTCAGACCTCACCTAGTCAAAAGATTCTTCACCTGTGTAAAAATGCCTATACAAACAAAAAGATAGTGTTACAGCAGCACAGTTTCACAATCTCAATTTTGTTTTTGCTTGGCCAGCATAATTTAGCCTTGAGAAACTGCAGCTGAGCTTTAGATGATGATTTGGTTTTGTCTGGGCGGTTGGAACAGAGTGTTTGGTGCTGCCTGGTGCAGTGGATGGGCACATAATGACGCACTATGAGGCTTGGCTGGAACTAGTAGGCTCTGTACTTCATTGCTTTGAGGCTCTGTCCTTCCATGGCCCTCCAGCGTACAGTGAGTTAAAGCTCCCCACAGCTGCCCTATTCACGGCCATTGTAGCCGCACCATGGCCCTGTCCCCAGCGCGCTCCGTCCCACAATAGATCTCATCTATAACAGGCTGCTGAGCAGAGGCGAGAGTGCCCGAAACTAGGCCTCTGTCACACTTCCTGCCAGGTTCCAGCAGTTGTGCTCAGCATTGTTGGTACACTAAATGGTAGTACTCCCATAAAGTCAAGCATAATTATTCAGTGCTACTACATAGGGGGCGTAATTTATTAAGAGACAGTTATTTACAACAATTTTGGTTGTAAACATGCCTACTTACCTCGTGTTAAACTTATTTGATTCAAATTTGTAAAATGCGCACCAACAAAACAATTATTAGCAAATGTAAGTGGCTTAGAATTGGGAAGTCAGAGCTCAGAATAACGTCTTTTTTGACTTCTGCTGTGTGCTCAGTCTACGAGGTGGGGAAAAACATGGATGCCACCGTGAAAGTAAGTTTTGTTAGCAACAAACTAGCAGTTGTGTTAGTGCTATGAGTGATAACTTTAACAATCATGGTGTTCTTACCTTCTCAAAACAGTGAACTTTATTATTAATATTATAGTTAAACCCCTTGAATGACCAGGGTTCACCTGCAGGCCCAAACTTTTATTACACACTTCTATAACCTAAGAATAGCTCAGCGAGTTTGCACTGATGTTGTTACTGAATAATAAGTCTTAGTATGTATTAATATGTATGTACTAGGGTTTTAAGGGGTTAATCAACCAATGTGTCTGTATGTTGACTGATCTAAAGCAAATGTCATTAAAAAGGAGAGAAGTGGTACTTCATTACTATTCATAGTGTGAGCAGCCATGTTTTTTTGATGTCATATGCTGAGCTCAAAGTAACATCCTGACCTTCCCAGTTAAAAGGGCTTTTTTTTGCTTGATGGACGTGGGACATTCCAAGTTATTCAGTCCAATGTAGTATCAGTTTTGAAGAACTACAATCTCTTTGGAGCTGATACTTGTGAGTGGGCTTAGACTAGCTAAGGCCATCTACATAATGGTCATGTACATACAAGTCACAACAAATTCAAAGTGAAAATTTTTCTGTAATTATATACAATTTTTCAACGTTTGTTTTTATCCATTTTCACTTTTTTTTCAAGGTGCAGTATTTTGGG